CCTGCACCTAATCCTATAATTCCTACTCCTGACCCTCCTTCGATTGATTCACCTGATATTTTCACCAACATTCCACCCAACTTACCTCCACCATCAAATGAACCTTCCTCTCCTACCTCTCTCCCCCAGCCAGAATCTCCCACTAACCTCTCTTCTTCCTCGAATGACACTAACAACTCCCCTTGCCCCTCCCCTCCTGTGCCAACCAGAAAATCCAATCGAAATAGTAAACCTCCAGCTTATCTATCCGATTATCACTGCAATTTGATATCCCCCATGCTGCCAGCATCTGACTCAGGTTCCTCTAACTACCCTCTCTCTTCTGTATTATCTTATAGCCAATGTAGTCTTAATCACAAATTATTTTGTCTATCCATAAGTTCTTTCACAGAACCAAAAACCTACAAACAAGCCTGCAAATTTGATTGTTGGAACAATGCTATGAAATCTGAGTTAGATGCTCTTGAATCTACAAATACTTGGTCTGTTGTTGATTTGCCTGCAGGCAAACAATCGATTGGTTGCAAATGGGTCTACAAAATCAAGCATCATGCTGATGGATCCATCGAACGATACAAGGCACGTTTAGTAGCGAAAGGATATACTCAGCTGGAGGGGGTGGATTATTTCGACACTTTCTCACCTGTTGTGAAGCTTACTTCTATTCGAACCCTTCTCTCAGTGGCTGCCATTAAGAATTGGCACTTGGAACAACTTGACGTCAATAATGCCTTCCTTCATGGTGATCTACATGAGGAAGTGTATATGGATCTGCCTCCTGGATTCATGCTTCCTGCTTCTTCGACCAACGAAGTCTGCAATTCTTCGACCAACAAAGTTTGCACTCCTTCGACCAACAAAGCTTGCACTCCTTCGACCAACGAAGTTTGCACTTCTTCAACCAACGAAGTTAGCACTTCTTCGACCAACGAAGTTGGCACTTCTTCGACCAACAAAGTTTGCAAATTGCATAAGTCACTATATGGCTTGAAGTAGGCTAGCAGACAGTGGTTTTCGAAATTGTCCACTGCCCTTATCTCTCTTGGCTACTCATATTCTTCTGCTGATCATTCTTTTTTCACCAAATACATGTCTCTTCTTTTACAGTTTTATTAGTCCATGTTGATGATATTGTCTTAGCCGGTAATGATTTGCAGGAAATCAAATATGCCAAATGCTTCCTTGATTCCACTTTCAAAATCAAGGACCTTGGTAGGCTAAAATATTTTCTTGGTCTAGAAGTTTCCAGATCCACTCACGACATTTTTCTCAATCAGAGAAAGTACGCTTTGGAATTGCTCAAAGACAATGGCTTATTGGCTACTAAACCTTGCTCTACTCCCTTCGATTCCTCCTTGAAGCTTCATGATGATAACTCACCACCTTTCGAAGACGTCACAGCTTATCGAAGGCTTGTTGGAAAACTTCTATATCTGACTACCACCAGACCTGACCTTGCATTCATCGTTCAACAGCTCAGCCAATTCATCTCACATCCTATGCAAGTTCATCATTCTGCAACAATTCGAGTACTCAAGTATCTCAAAGGTGCTCCTGCCAAGGGTTTGTTCTATTCATCTTCCTCTCCACTCAAACTCTCTGGCTTCGCAGACTCAGATTGGGCAAGTTGCCCTGCTACCCGCAGATCCGTAACTGGATATTGTGTGTTCCTTGGCAATTCCCTCATATCCTGGAAATCCGAAAAGCAGTCTACAATATCCAAATCCAGTTCAGAAGCAGAATACAGGGCCTTGGAAAGCTTGACTTGTGAATTGAAATGGCTGCAGTATTTATTCAAGGATCTCCACATCTCCTTCGATCAACCTAGCTCAGTCTATTTTGACAACAAAAGTGCTATCTACCTTGCTCACAACCCCACCTTTCATGAACGGACAAAACATATCGAAATTGACTGCCACGTCATTCGTGAGAAAATCCAAACTGGTCTCATCCATCTTTTACCAGTTTCTTCAGCTGCTCAACTGGAAGATGTTCTCACCAAGCCTTTGGCAGCTCCCTCTTTCGATTCTCTTGTTTCCAAGCTTGGTCTATTAGACATCCATAGTCTAGCTTGTGGGGGGCTATTACATGATGAAAATAATACTGTTTAGTTTATTACTAAACAGTTAGTTTTAGTTTGTTATAGTTTGTTACAATTCTGTTTAGTTTGTTACTAAACAGTTTGTTACTTTAACAGTATATATAATGTTGTTTTGTACATTCCAAATCATAATGAAAACTATGAGTTTATTCCAAAATTAACACAATGAATCTTTCTCTTCTCCTCCATTCCCCCCATAAGAAATTACTTTGAAGTTTCATGATTTCTTTAACGATCCTCACCGGCATTTTGTAGAAAGACATTGTGAACATGGAAATAGAACACAAAATAGATTTCAAGAGAGTTATCCTTCCTCCAAGGTTAAGAAATATATTATTCCGACCTGAGAGACGCCTTTTCAATTTGTTCAAAAGCGGGCTCTAAGTTGAAATCCTTCTAGGATTTGAGCCAATAGGAATACTGAGAAAGTTAAATTATTTTCCTTCCATTCTACATGAAAGACACGATGAAGCGGCGTCCAAAAAATTATTGATAACGTTGATACCAATTAACTTGATTTTGTGGTAATTGATGCCAAGACCTGAAAGTAGCTCAAATGCCCTCAAAACCAACTTAATTGTCCACACATGCTTTCAACTACCTTCCCTTACCAACAATGTATCACCCACAAATTGAAGAATGTCCAAGTTACATTTACCATTTATAACAAAACTTTCAAATTCACCAATCTCAATCGCTTTTCTCACCAAACCCGTTAAACCTTCCGCTACCAAGACATAAAGGAATAGCGAAAGGGGTTCACCTTGTCTCAACCCTCTCTCTACCATAAACTACGTAGCCGGACTCCCATTAACAAGAACCGACATCTTACTTTTAAAGATCAACAATTCCATCCATATCATTCATAAAACACCAAAACCCATTTTCTTCAACATGAATTTAAGAAAATTCCAACTTACTTTGTCATAAGCTTTTTCGAAATCTACCTTATAAACTAAGCAACTTCTTCCCTCCTTATTCGCGTAATCCACCACTTCATTAACGACCAAAACTTCATCTAGTAATTGCCTACCTGGGACGAAAGCTCTTTTGCAAGCTGAAATAATTGAATTCAAAACATTTTTCAATCTAGCCGCCAATAATTTTGAAAGCACTTTGTACAAACATCCAACTAAACAAATTGGTCTATAATCGTCCAATCCCACCGGATTAGGATACTTAGGTACCAAAGTCAAGAAAGAAGAAATGACCGCCTTTGAGATATCACCTCCGGGATAAAAATCATTAAAGAAACGAACGAAGTCATCTTTAAGAAAAAAATAACATTTTCTAATGAAAAGAAAAACCACCTGGGTCTAGACTTTTAGCACCCCCACAATCCCAAATAGCCTCTTTAATCTCCTCCTCTTGAAAAGGGGTCTCAAGCCTAATACTATCTTCCTCCTTGAGCTTGTTGAAAGGGATATCTTCCAACAATGGCCTATTCCAATCCAATTCAATGAATTTGCTCAAAAAATGAGATCAAACCTCCTCTTTAACCTCCAAAACTGATTCTAACATGCCTATCATTGAATTAAATGGACCGATATGATTATGCCTTCTTCTCTCCTTCATCACCTTGTGGAAAAAACCACTATTAGAACCGTCGTCATTAAGCCATTTCAAATGAGACTTTTTGATAAGCATATTCTTCTTAATCCTCAATTTCAACCAAAACCTACTAGTGGCCTCCTTCCTATTACAAATAAATACTTCACTCCTATCATCGGTAACTTCCTCCAAACTCTCATCCCCTTTGTTCACCCCCCTCACATCTTCCTTCACCTCCAAGTCTATCCTCCCAACACCTCTTTATTCCACCATCTTAGCCTTTTTTTTAGGAGCCTAAATTTCTCCTTTAAGACGAAGTCGCTCCTTCCTTCCACCCTAATCTCACTCCATTCCTTTTCAACAAAAGGAATAAATGAATTTAGAGTGAACCATTCATTGATGACCTTAAAGGATTTAGGCCCCCAATTAATGTTATCCTTAACAATCCATATAAGAAAATGGTCTGAGATATCCTCAAACCAATAAGTTGATCAATCACTCTCCATCTATTCACAACATTCTCCGAAATTAGAAAATGATCTAATCTACTCATCGACTTACCATCTCCACTATACCAAGAAAATCTCTTCCCTTTATAAGGAATATCTACAAGTTTACTTTCTCCAATGAAACCCGCAAAAGCCTTCATCTCCCTATTGTTTTCTACCTCTGTTCCACCTTTCCTCTCCTTATGATTCTTGATAGCATTAAAATCCTCACATAATCCATTCCCCATCTCCATGTTTAGCTCCAACAAAATTTTCCACAACAATATTTTCTTAGTAAAGTCGCAAGGAGTATACATTAGCCACATAGTAATCATGATTCTTCCATACTACCTTAATTGCCAAAAAAAAAAACCTCTCCTTTGAAGTTATTTTGAACCACCACCGGTTCTTCCTTCGAAAGAATAATAGTGCCACCCGACAACCCCAACCGAATTAGAAAAAATTAACATTAACATAACATAACAATTAAATTGTATAATTGTATCAAATTAGCCCATGTTTTTTTCTACATAATTAATTTAAGTCCCATCATGCAAATATCGATATCTGTTTTCTCATGTTTTTCTTACAAAAATACACAGGTTATACAAAAATGTGGACAAAAAAAAAAGAAAAATCATATACACCGGTTTATTAGTAGCAAAACAAATCATAGCATCATTAACAAACATAAGATACATAAATCTATGCAGTTAACTAAAATTTTAATATACTGTTTCTAACATAATCAATTAAGAAACACTTCATGTTCTTTTGAAGTGTTTCCACTTTCCACTTTTTTTCTTAGTTTTGTGCCTCAAACTTTTAGTTATGATCCATAAAATCGTGAAAACTAAATACTAGGCATTACGTGAAATTTCTTCTACACCCCCTCCTTCTTTTTCTTGATTTTGTACATGTTCATCTTTTTGTGAATCTTCATTATCATTAATAACATGTAAATTATTATTGTGACCATTGCTGTTTCTATGGTTGCTTTTATCTTCTACTACAATTGTATCAAGTTCATGTGTGCTTTGTGATGGTGCTAATTGATTCTTTTTCTTCATCTCTTTACTTTTACCCCATACAACAGCATATAACCCACATACAATCAACACTGCTCCAATAACGCTGAAAAAAAAGAAGACATATTTAGTTTACACTTTGAAAAGAAATACATATAATATTAATAAAATTTAGTTGAAATTTTGATTAAATACAAAACATTTGTGTTTGTTAAAAATTTGTGGCTTCACCTGTTTTAACAATAAAAAAAAATTAATTTTAAACGTGAGAATTACCTCCACTTATAAACACAAGTTTAAATTATTTATAATCTAATATAAAAATTTTAATTGACTCACTCACACTTAAGACTTAACATCTAAAGTATAAAAATAAATTGTGAATGAATCTGATATCGAAAATGTAATAAGAGATAATCCATGAAATTTTAAACCGAGCTTTGATATTATATTAAAAATATGATTTAACCTGATTCAACCCTACAAGTAATTAGGTTTTGAAAATTTTTTAAAGGTGTTAATATTTTACATAATGATTATTATGAGAATATGATATTAAAAATAGAAAGAAAAAAAAAAAAAGCATACCTTCCAAGGTGAAGTTTTTCATTCAACATAGTACAACTAGCCAAGGCCACACAAATAAGCATCAAAGGACTAAAAACAGATACAAACAATGGTCCTCTCATGTGTACACACCATGAAATTACACAAATCATTGCTCCTGAAACCACTATACCCTGCACAAATCAATTCACATATCATATAACTAATAAACTCCTACAATAATAATAATAATACATGATTTAATCATATTAATTAATTAACACTTATCATAATCATACCGCATAAGCAACAGTTAGTAACCTAATATTCCAACCCAATTTCCACTGACTAAATTCCCTCTCAAAACAAAGAGCAAACACAATGGAAACCAATGAAGCCCAAAATGACATCAAAGCTGTGCTTGAATAATGTGTTGGATATTGTTCACTCATTTTTGCCTGTTAATATGCATAAACTTAATTAATTAATTAATCAAAAGGTTCATAAACTTAATTAAATGACATCAATAATTATTCAATAATTGATATATTTATAAACTTACATGAATAATGAGCCATAATGCATAAGAACTGCTACTAGCCAGAGCACATAGAGAACCCAAAATAGTATTCTTAGTGGAGATTGTAGCTTGTGTGGGTGACTTTTGGTGATGCAAAAGGTTTAAATTGAATGAACCAATATTTAGTTCAATACCTTTAACAAAAGTTAATACCATTGCTCCACTAATTCCTGTCATTGTACCTATTATCTTTGCCTTTCCAGCTTTTGTTCTCAAATTTAGTTTTTCCAAACTGAAATAAAATACTACATTTTATCACCAAAAATATAAATAAAAAATTTGAAAAAAAAGTTAATTGTTAAAAATAAAAATATTTAAGAAAAACTAGGGTTACTTACCCAAAGGAAACGGCCATGATAAAGGTTATAGCTGGTATAAGGTTGGCCATTGCTGATGCAAATGTTGGTGAAGTTAAAGACAAAGCTTCTAAGTAGAAGTTTTGAGCTAATGATCCTCTACATGTAAAAATCAAAATCTTAGTCACTTTATATTAAAAAATAATTTTAAATGAGATACATGTCCCCTGACGAAATATTGGACATAACACCAACATTGACATGTCGACAATAATAAAAATTTGAAAAATAAATCTCACTTATTCACAAGATCTATACAAATACATAAAACATACAAACAAAGTTTCCAACTGATGATTAACAAAATAAAATGCAATTTAAATAAGTTTATCTTTAGAAACATAAAAAACAAAAATGGTTGTTTCTTTTTTAGGAATATGCTTATTGATGGAACCCTACAAAACCACACGTAAACATAGCAACTAGAAACACAAATGAATGGTTAAGAACCAGTCACACATACTTTATACGTGGACAGCACAAATCGCCATTTTCACAACAACTATATTCAAACTTGACATCTGTTTCTCTTCAAAATAAAACCAAAACAAATAAACCTCATTCAAACGTTAATTAAGGAGTTAGCTAAGAACATTACATACCCAAATAAACCACACAGAAATGATTGAAACAGTATCTTCCATGTTATCTTTGTCCTCTTCTTCCTGCACCAAACATTAGGGTTTCACTCTCATTATTGTCATTTTATACTATCTTCTCCACTTTCTTAAACTATACGCAAGAACATGATCTAAAATATATTTAACCCTAGAAAATGAATATATATATATAGGTTTAAAGAAAAAAAATTGATATGAATGAAACTATAAGGATGATGAACCTTTCAATGATGAAAGCAACTGGAGCTATGAAAGCAGTTGAGAATATAAAACGGTACGCAACAACGATTCTTAGGTTCATGCCATCGTTAACAGCAAGTTTATAGAGAATATTAACACCAGCAAATGCTATTTGAACCATAAGCATTAACAACGTTGGTTTCAAACCATGCAATACATTACATATATTGTCCTTCATCATCAAGATCAGAAGTATGATCTATGATGATTTAGACCTAGCACAAATAATTACTAACTTGAAACTATATGGAAATTTCAGTTAATAACTATGACAGTGTAAATTGTTATAATAGTGAGGTATAAGAGTGTAATATATATATAGCGGAAGGAACAAGGGTTGGTGTTTATGGTGATTCCAAAAGTGAAAAAAAGTGGCAGTGTTAGTTTGATTTTGTTTGTCACGTCATCATATATATATTGGTAACTTACACGATTTAACCTCCTATTTAACACGTGCCAATTTGGTTTTGGTGGGTCTAAATATCTGAGTTTTCCCAGAACTGAGCAAACGCTAAGTAGTCTATAGCTATGCATGAAAGTTAATTGGCAAAGCTTACCTCTTTAATAGCAGCACAAATAATGCTCCCTATGGACTGTTTTCTAACTAGAATTCTATATTATGTAAGTGTGACAACATCTACTGTATTTGGTAGGGAAGAAATCAACAATGACAAAATTCTCTTTCACTATTCTCCACAATCTATTTGTTGAAATTCTACAAACAAACATCATCAGTATTACATAGAGAAGAGACAAATTTTGCATTATCCAATCCTTAATACTTAGATACGAGACTTTTATTTTTCATTTCATGTCGGGAAGTAAATTCATATTTAATTTATTATGTAAAATCAATTATATGTAGTGGAAAGAAAGTTTTAAAGTTATAGAAATCATCAATTTATTGATGGTTAAGAGAAAATTAAGCTAACTATTCATAACACAACAATTAATATAATTTGGCCCGCTGTCGCATACGGATAAAAACGACTATTTTATAAAATGCAGTATAACGACAATGGCTCGAGTCGTATCGCAAGGATTCTTGATTTTATTATTAACTAATAGAAATCGAATGGGGGTTGGTTTTAGGATCGATTTATAACACGAAATAAGTGATTAAAATAAGTGATTATAAAAATAAGTCGATCTACTATTTTCAGGTTCCTCCTAATCATTGGTTTTTACCTTATCAATTCCCTAAGCGGCTTCGACCTCTATTGGATTTCAATACCAATTGACAAGCGCAATAGATATAAAATAGGTTGAATTCTCATTCCGAATTAAGCAAACAGATTAATACAATCGTGAATTAAGCAAATACGATATAAAACGCGATTTAACGACTAAGCAACGTTGTTATACCCCAAAATTTGCCCTCCCATATTCCTCAAGAAATTGCCAAGCCAAGCTAGAAAATTCCCCAAGGGTTGTGCAGTGCAACAATCTCCCATACAGTCAAAACTAGGGTTTGGGTTCTGATCAAGAAAAGGAAGTGTTCAAAGGCCCAATCAAGTCTCATATGCTTACAAACATGGTCAAGCATCCTCATATCAAGTTTCAAGGCATTCAGCTCAAGATTGCACAGTCAAAACCCTAAATTGCACTACAGTCAACTGTAGGGGCAAAATGGTCATTTGGCAGTCAAAAGTTCAAATTTTTGGTCAACATATCATTTTGAAGCCACAAACATCATTTGATCAATGCTTGATCATGATTCTCAAAATTTGGCTCAGAAATCATCAAAGATGCAAAAGTTGCTATATTTGGACAGCTGAAAAAGTCAACTGAAATTGACCAGGGCATAACTTTCACATGGATTATCAGAAAAATTCCATCCAAAGCTCATTTTGAAGAGAAAGACATTTCCTACAACTCATCTTCATACTTCAAGTCCAAGAAATGCTCACACAAAAAGTTATCAATGTCAACATTATAGGTCATTTTCAAAAGTCAACAAAAAGGGACTTTAAGTCAAAGGCCATAACTTGAGATTGGTAAATCAAAATGACATGGGACCAAAGGCATTGGTTAAAGGACTCAAAGACCTTTCCAAAATGTCCAAGAACATGTGAAAAGCTTAAAAATTGAGCAAGTTATGCCTTGTAGAAGTTGGGAAATTTTTGTGAAATGGAAAAAGTCAACTATCCTTGAAAATCCAATTTTGACAAAAGGGCCCCATTTTTCTCACTTTGTTCATCCTTGTCATGCCACACACGTGTTCCATGGTTGATTTCAAGACCAAATATTGATTTTTTTTATTTTATTTAATTTTTGATGATTTAATTCATTTTAATTCTTTGAAAATTCAAATAAAATTTAAAAACCAATGGAATAGTGTCAAATGAACTTGGACAATTCCTATGTACCATGAACCAACTCAAGAAATCAGGCTAGGGTTCATTTGCATACTAGGTCTAGGTTTTGGCTAAAAAGAAGGAAAATGGTTAATGGAAGAAACCCTAAGACCAATTCTTTCCCAAGCTTGAATTTAGGTCAAAAAAACAAACCAATTCCCTTCCATGAGATGCATTGAGTCAAACCCTAACCATAGTGCAGCAAAAGGCTCGCTCAAAAGTGGATTGGAATTTTGAAAATTTGGACATAAAATGCAAATCTGATTTCAAAGCTAGGGATCTTTTCAAGCCTTAATTCTTATACCAATAGCTTCCTGAGATAATTCTGAACGCATTCCAATTCATAACATCAATCAAAACTCCTTGAACTGGTATCCACAACTCAAACTGTACAGCAAAATATTTGAGATCGTATTCTCCATTTTAAGCATCTTCACTGCATTCCAATAGCATATTCTTGTTCCATGTGAAGTTTCTAAACTATTCATGGTGTTTAATTTCATTTTTGCTAATCATACGCTAATCCACCATTTTCGAATCCTAGGGTTACAGCTTTCTTAAATTAGGGTTTTTTTGTAGAGGAAAAATTAAGGTTCCTGACCACCATGATTGAACTCAGCATTCTAAGACGAAGAAGAAGATACCATCGCGAACAATTTATGTAACCTATATGGCTATTCGCTATTTTCTCATAGCATGCTTAAAACAACGCTTCAAAACCGTTGCCTTCTTTGTTTGTGTTTCAGGAAAATGGAAGGGATGATGGCGTGGCATGCAGGGATTGGGAGGTTTAAAAATTCGCGCGCGTTCCAAGAGTTGTGCCACTTTTCTTTTATATTATTTATATTATATTACATGTTAATTGAAAATACAACTGGCTCAGTGGTAACGTGTTAGGCGCATGACATCAAAGACCTGGGTTCAAGTCCCAGGTCTTGCAAAATTCAATATTATTTTTCATTTTAAGCTTCCATGCAGCGCTAATATTAGGACTCACCATGCACATTCAAGAGGCATTATCCACGTGTCCCAGGAGGTCTATCAAAGGGTCCAGGACAAAGGCACATGGTGGACGCCAGTCAACATGCCACACCTGAGTGGAAAAGTCAACAAATTGCCAGCAAATGGGCCAGGCTTTTCAAATCCACACCCCCCTGGTTTGCTTTATCATTGTTATTTTTATTCTTTCTTTAATTTTTTTCCTTTTATTTCTTTTGCTATTTATTTAATTAATCATATTTTTCAACAAAATACAAAAACATTCAAAAAATCAGAAAAAGACCAAAAATGATAATTTTTATATTATAATTATTTTCATGAAAAAATACATGTAAATATTTAGATTTAATTAGGTATTCAATTTTAATCCTTTTAATAAAAATCAAAAAATAGAATTTAGGTTTAATAATTTTCTCTTTTTAATTTTCCTTTTCTTTTTTTTTAGAATAATAACATTATTTATTTATTTTCAGAAATCAAAAATTGTATATAAATTAACTTAGGTTTAATTTAGGTTATATTTTAATTCTTTCATAATAAATAAAAAAATATTAGAATTAGGGTTTAACACTTTAATTTTAATTAATTTTTTCCTTTTTCTTTTAAATCTAAAAAACACAAAAAAATACTATTTTTCATTTAATTTTAATTTTAGATTCCTTGATTAATTTTAATTGTTTGTAAAAGGGTCCAACGCCCTAATTTTGTTAATCTCTTTATTTCGCGCATTTGTTTTATATTGTTTAAATAATTCTGTATATGCCCCAAAGCCATGTAATTTAGAATTCTCGCACTTTTATTTATTCGCTTTATTTATTTTCAGTCAAATCGGGTTCGGTTTTTTTGGCGATGTGGACCCGCGCCAGTTGTAATAGTTTAGATTTATTTTCTCGCAAATATATAACTGTTAATAAATATGCATGAAAGAATGAATGCCCAAAAAATAAAATCGAATCGTTAGATCACCAATACATGACAAGACAAACAATAAACTGAAAATGACACACAATTCGCACACACCACCCCTAGGGTACGCCTCACTGTTGCCTTTCGAAAGGTGGTCATCGAGTAGAAAACGTCTTAGTAAGTCCTCATGGTCCGGGAACCTGGCATGAGGGTAGCTTCTAAGGTGTCTTCCCATTGCTCCGGTGATCACCATGTCCCTAAAATCGAATTGACCCGAACACCTCCAACGGTGGTGCTACCTACCTCTCAATGGTGGGATGGCACTACCTTAAAGGACATTTACACAGACGAATTCCTTAGGGTAGGTAGGTTCTCAAGGATACTTGCTCTAATTTCAAACAAATCAAAATACTTTTCACACCAACACACTTTCAAAAACTTTCAAAACAAACTTTTCAAACACTCTGACGTACGAGTTAAACTGAAACTTTTCAAAGAATATTTTTGAAACCCACATTGAAAAGCAAACAAACATTTTGAAAACACATTGAGCAAGTACCTAAGAGCCCATGGATAACCATGGATAGAAAGGGTGCTAACACCTTCCCTTTCTATAACCTACCTCCCGAACCGAGAGCAATCTCTTTAAAGGAATTTTTCTGTGCTTTTGTCCTTTCCAATTGGAGAAAATAAAAGATGGTGGCGACTCTTGCTTACCGCGACATTTCGCGAACCAGCGTTAAACAGTCAGTTCCAGATCCACCGATCACAGAACTGGCGACTCTGCTGGGGATAATCTTAAAGTGAGGTGTACCTTAGGACTAAGATCACTGTGTTTTCAATTGCTTTCCTTGTATGCTTTAAAATTGTGGGTTGCTTGGGAGTTCTATAGATCCTAACCCGGATCTGGGGGATACCT